GCCGAAGTTTTACCATGACTGTTTATGAAGTGCTTGCTACTGCTGTCGTTGCATCGCAAGCTTGTTTGTAATATTATCCACATTAAAAATAAAGAATTATAAAAAAATAAAAAAAATCAGGGATCCTGGTGACTGCCCTCCTTCCTACTGGGGAGGAGGGAAGAGGAAAAGAGAGAAACACCTTGGCCAATATGGACCAAGCTTTGCCCAGTCTTGGTATGGTACATCCTAGCAGTCATTGTCCTGATGACGCAGTGATTGCTAGTGCATGTGGTAGGACACTGCTTAAAATTAAAACGCCCCATACCCAAAACAGTTAAACTTGATTTTTTAATGTTAAATACAATAAAACAGAGATAATGCTCTCTGATTATAGCTGCAATTTAAAATGAGGGGTTCCCTCAACTTTGTGAAAACCAAATCAAAACAGATAAAAACAATTAGGTGAACAGCGCTAAATGTATACATTACATACGTAGACAGGAGAGAGCAAAATCCGAAGATGTATATCTTAAAATAAAAAATGACATGATAATAGTGCAATATATAACAATAGTGCAGATATTTCTATAGTGCCAAAGGAACACTCACACTTTGTAGAGCTACATAAGCTTTATTTTATGAGCCTGGAGGGAATAATCACCGTCTATGGATTTCCTTGTGGATATCAGCACTGCTTGGCTCTCAGGAGGATAGAAGTCATCATGTATAAAGAGAAGACCATAAACCCAATGGTATAGTATGTAGGTAAACAATAAATACTTGCATCAACTAGAGCAATGACCTGCTCTATGGTGTAAAACAATCCCCACCTAGGGATACACGTGGACCCGGAACAGCAGCAGAGAAAACTGGATGTGAGGTGAGTATAAGAATGACTGGGTATGTATATTGATTTAAAAAAGAACTTTATTATAAAAACAAAACAAAGAAATTAAGTGATAAATAAAGATAAAGTAAAAACCAGTCCTATAGTACAGTCCTCACTTGACGCGTTCCGCTGAATGCTTTTGATAAAGCTTTGACGAAACACGTCAAGTGAGGACTATGCTTGTACCGGAGCGCTAGTCTAGCAGGCACTTTTCTCTGTTGGTTTTCTCCAAGATGACTCAGGAACAAAGACCGTAATCCACAGGAACAGCAAAGCAGTACAAGATTCTTCCAACACCTCCCCAGTAACTGGACGACACTCAGTTTAAGGGAAATAACTAAAGGTTTAATGCTGGCACACTGCCTTTTATGTGATTTAGGTGGACCTAGTGGGGCACCGAGTTATAAAGTTAACAGACCGATAAAACAGGGTTATACATAGAGACAATCCCTCCCCTCTGCCTGGTAGATAATGTAATAACTCAATTATCTCCAGGCAGGAAAAAACATTTTCTGAAAGTACCCCAGAAACATTACATATCCCCATAAATGACACATCCCCAGATAGCTCTGATCTGGGTGAAAAACATATCCAAAAATCACCCAGATCAGAGCAGGTTTACGAATTCTGTGGAAGTCACATTTGACCACACACTTGACCACACACTTGATTTCATGCCCAAAAGAGTTCCAGAGAATTAGGCAGTGCGGCAGGTCTACCTTCTTATCCACATAATGTATAAATTGCACAAACAGATCTGTTCATGCAGTACTTTATTGGATGTGTCTCGTTCGGTATATTGGTCTCAAGAAATAGCGCTCTGTTCGTGTGGATTTTAGCCGAACGCACAAAGGTGGAAGTCCCAGCGGTGTTCGTGCCTTTGAGTGTCCGATTTCAGTTCCAGGCGTTCGACGACAAAACACCGCTGAGCATGTTTGGCTAAACAAAATGGCCGCCGCCACAGGTTCATTCATACGAAAACAACCACCCAGCCGTTCGTCAATTAAGCTGCGGTTAACCACAGCTTCTGGGAGGTTAACCAGCAGCACACTCCACATGCAGGGTGGTCGGTAATTCGTTAGTTTGTTCAATTATTGTATAAAACCGTGGGAACCATTTCAGGGAATGAGTTTTAACGAACAGCCCAGTGAAACAGTGGGAAACATAGATGACAAGGCCATGGGAATAAGTCTCACACAGGGGGTCAAGGAGAGGGGAAAACAAAGGGGATACGGACAGCCCAGAGCTGGTATAAATAGGATAGAAGGGTCCATTCTGCTACAATGCTATTTTATAAAAACAATTCGGGGGAATGAGGGTATTTATAAATTACCTGCTGTGCAGAGTGATCTGTTTACCCCTTTTTATGTTGTAAAATGGAAGTGAAATAAGGGGGCGTGGCTGACAGACCCATACCGTGTTTCAGGGGAGCTCAGACACGGGTCCGCGACTTACCTGTAATTACCGCAATTAAAGCCTACCTACCACGTATCCTTCTACATCACCACCGAGATGACTATGGGCGAAAACACAAAAAGTGCCAATGTCCAGAAGGCTCCAGCATGCCAGATATCAGGTTCTCCTTTGAGGGGCCTGTGGAGCATGTCATATTTACTAGTTTGGTGGGTGAAGTGTCACATCCTAATGATATAACCGCATTCAATGTTCTCCTTTCACATTGTCCTTGTGGTGTTTGAGTGTTGTGTCCCCAACACCAATGATCACATTTCTTCCTTAGAAGCCGAATAAGACAATCCCGCATGGTCTTTACCTTGATATATTGTTTACAACCAAAACACAGGTGGGGTGGGGTTGGAGGACTGTGCAGCTCAACATGAAAGGCTACAAATTAAGAATCTGAACAATCCCAAGAATTCTTTTTCATGAGGCCAGTTTTACCCAACAAGACTCCAGGATACACGTTTCATGCATTAGAGGTTCCTCCTTAACCAAGAACTCATACACACCGTACATATTCAGTCAGAGTAGGCAACCTTTGTGGCAAGTTACAGGACACGAGGAGATTGTGGCAAATTGCCTTCCATACAACTGTTTCTTAATGACACTAAATTTGCCGGAGACTGGCCCAAGGAGCAAAACTAAATCTGAGCAATTGTGCTTTCAGACTAGTTCTATCCCTAAGATAATCTCTAAGTATTCTAAAACTATTCCAACCAACTTCTTTCATAATTGCACAATTTCACTCAGACCTGGAACAAATTCCCGTCTTCCTTAGAGGAAGATTGACTTCTATTTTTCTCCCAAGTTGGTTTCTATTCCCACTATAGTGCTCCTCTCCATGAAGCTAATTATTATGGTAATCTCAGGTGGTATGCCAAACCAGCAGACATTCACCAGTTCATTCCATCGCAATCGCCAATGAGGTGGCTGGATGGGACTGTCCAGCGTATGGTGTAAGCAGGTTCTGGAAAGATGTTGGGGAAATGGCCAAGAGGATTACTGGTAACATATGATGTAAACCGTACTTTTTCACTTGTTCAATATCCCCTGCCAAATACAAGTACCCTCTACTAAATTAGAGATAAAGAACTGCAAGGTGTCCAGCCAGGAGAGATTGATTCATTAAAATAAATAATAGTGGCCAGAAATTTGAAATCTACTAAAAGTTCCAGTATGGGAGGCAGTTAAAGAACAAGTGATCTATGAGATAAAAATAGAAATGGGTATTGTCAAGGAAGGAAATATGCTGAAAGAATGGCTCAGTAAGTTACAGCAACTCTAAAGTATGTATTAACATATTATGCCAAGTATGTAGTTACCCTTCTTACATTAAATTGTATACTAATGCTTATATGAACTCAAAGGAGATAAGAAAATTACCCCAGTTCTATCTATATCGCAGGAAATATTGTCAAGTGTTTCCCCCCCCCATGTGATATATTATATTATGAATAGACAAGCAAAATGGTTTTTTCTCTACACAAGTTAGAGCCAGATATAGTATTAGGCTATATATGTAGAGATACATATTTATGTATGTCAATATTTTATGTGTGATGTCATGTAACATGTTATGTTTTTTAAATAAAAGAAAAAAAATACACAATTTTTGAGGAATTGGGGCAGGCATTGTTCGGTAAAAATCACATAAAATGTTAAAATATGGCATCCTTGGGTAAATTATATACACCAATTATATATTGCTGGGGCAGGTCAGAGGAGGTGGAAGGACACATTAAATTCTCTCACATTCACACAATAGGCTCTGGTGCAGAATGGATATAATATACTGCCTCCTGGGAAGATATAATGTTTTATTCATTATTCTTATAATATTCCATTTCGAAATCTGGTATCCTTTCTGCATTATATGTACCAATAATAAATGTAATGTAATAATGCCACTAATTGCATCAATTAATGGTTGTGTAGAAATTCTGTGAAATTAAGTTTTAAATTACTAGATAGATATGTGAATTGCTGAGTTGAAAACCCTGTTCTATTGCACATATGGGATGTGTAAAGGGCTTGGAGGCATTTAAAGGAATTACACTGCAGGTATCAAACTCCTCCACCTGTTATAATTTAACTACAACGGATTCTTTGGGCGACTATTCCATACAAAGAATTTTGGGAGTTGTAGGCCATCAACATTTGGAGGGCAAGAGTGATGGATTGTAAATCCAGCCTTTAAAAGGGAATCTATAATAGACAACCCACAGGCAGGTTTATTCAGTCCATCTACTACGCTAATTCGTCTCCCAACATGGAATTCAGAAATAGACCGCCACCACTAAATGATGCAATAGTTCTGCAGCAGACAACAAACCTGGTCATTATCGCTATATGGACAGCATGGCAGTAAATCCCATATTAATGTCAAGCTGTGTAACGTTCGTAACATGGTGGGCGATGCGTAGATAGGATTTTATAGCCTAACTATAAACACTGCGGTTTAAATTCCAACACGCCATTTAAACACAGAGCAGAGACTGAAGCACTGAGGGTAAAGTCCCAATAGTTTTATTTCTGCCGCCATAAACCGTGACATTGCGGGAATCGAGCTGTATGACAGTGCTGGCGGCTGAGGCATTAATAAAGAAAAACAATATTTACAGGAATCACAGCCAACGATGTAAACTGGTTTCTCTCCCACTCATCTGGAGGATTACACAGCGGCATAGCTTTCCCGTAGAAAATTCACAAGAAGCCAGGAGAGTAGAATCCCAAATATCTGCAGAGAGAAACACAGTTACTGCAATCTGATGACATGTTCAGGTTTAATGCCAAGATGCCCAGTGCAACCATGATGGGCACAGGCCAAGCCTATATTAACACCACGCACTGGGAGGGGAGCTACATATCCCAGAAATGTTTATTGATATAAAATGGGAAACTAGGAATGAGTTATACTAGTCCTTTGTCAACTCCCAGGGATAACATGGGACGGGACAGAACAGATTGATGGTAAGATGCTAGCTTGATTGCCGGCACACATCTTCTATACATTGCCTGGACTTACTGCATGATAGCCAGGGACACACACACCGCACCCCCCCCTCCCCCCAAAGGACAAATAGACAAATACAAGGTTCAGTACCTGGGAGAATCCAAGGCCCAGGCCCATGGCCCCAATAACTTGAATGTGCTCCGATATCCAATTTCTCATCTTCACAACACAACCCTGCAGAATGGAGCGTGAACAAGACAGACACTGGAGGGAGCCATGTTTACTGATCCCAGAAGATCTCTTCGTGGGAGTCAGTTATTCACAGATATGATAAAGGGACCTCATCTGGAAAGATCTTTATAGATCAATAATGAGGATAAGATGGGGGATCTCCTATAGCTAGAACTTAGACCCCTTCCTGATAGTCAGGGAGTGGCAGTTAACGCAGGAAACAAACAAATACTGGCATTTAAATCACTTCACAAATTTACATCTCATGATACATCTGGTTTATTGATGGTGGGTCCCTATAGACAGGTTTGTAAATGGGAAGTCACTTTACCATAAGATAACCAGGTCTGTAGAGTGAGAGCACCAAACCAAGGCACTGTCCCTAGAACCTACCCCCCAACCATGACCAGACCCCCTCCTCCCAGACCAAGAACTTAGCCAGAAGCTAGCCATGACCAGACCACCTCTTCTCAGACCTAAAACATACCCCTCCAGCCATGACCAGATTCCCTCCTCCTAGACATAGAGCCTATACTCCCAGCCATGACCAGACACCCACCTCCAGGAATAAGTTGTCCATGTGATCCAAAGCATTGTTGCCACACATTGGCTGATTCCTCCGGCAGCAGCTCCTTGGCACGGACGTGGCGGGCATGTTGAGAGTGCTGTTCAGCCAGTCTGTAAAATTCTGTGCACCACAACACTGGAACTACATGGGGTGGGGGGGTAATAGACAACACGCATGGCTATGCTACAATACCACTACCACCTAGATATAAGCCAATTCAATCTGCATATCAGTAACTGGTCCACCAATGTTTAATTCTGCCACACGTCTCCAGACCATACAATAGACCCCAAAATCACTCAAACACCAAGTGTCAGTCCAAGGGTTAACCAGCTACCTCTCATTCTAGGCAACAATTTGGAGTGTCCAAAAGGTAGATCCCTAGAGGTTTTAGAACTACAACTGTTTTGAATGCCTTTAGAATTACAAAGCATCATAGAAGCTGTAGTTTTAAAACACCAAGGGTCTACATTTTGGGCATCCAGGTATAATCCATCTGTATACCACGATCAGTCCCATTCCTCACCTCTTGCTGGATGCTGTCTATGGCGTTGGTTAGTCTTGGCTCCTGGCCATACGTGTGGAGAACCTTGAGAAATCTCTGTGACACGATACTTTGTATCTGCAAGATAATAACGAGAAGATGGACAAAGTGAGCATCCAGGGCTAGAATGATGGGACAAAATGGAACGGAAACTGAGAAGACATCTTTTCATATTATCAGGGCCTGTTATTTAACCCATGTAGATGGGTGTTGGATCAAAAATGAAATATAAAAAAAATAATAAAAAAAAAAAATTATATATATATATATATATATATATATATATATATATATATATATATATATATATATATATATATATATATATATATATATATATATATAATGTTTTTCGGACGAAATCATATGAAAACTAATGCACATGTCTATTGTCTACTTAAAAGTTTGTTTTACCCAATAATCTCAGAATCCAGTATGGGTGTCGTGGTTTTGGAGGAGCTTTTCCAGAGGAACAAATATCATTAATTCACATCACAGGACAAGATCCATATAAAAATACCTGGAGTCCGGCCAGCGCCCACACTCACCCGATCTCTGTAAGTAAAGGCAGAAATTCCCACCACTATCTCCACCACAAAAATCAGCAGCATGATCACGGAGAACTGAGGGGGAAAACACACAGCAGTGAACAGGCGCGGGACACGGCGACAGCGTGGAACAGATGTAAGGCAGTTAACCAGTGAGGGCCATTGCTGTCATGGTTTCCCAGATCTCACCACCCGTATTTGCTTGTGTAAAGTGGGAAGCGTTCATTTAACGCATGTTTATGTTACGGAGGGAGATCACTTGGGAGTTTCAAGTCTGGCTCTAAGTAACCCTGGAAGAATGCATTGGATCACACAGGAAGGGATACAGAGCCATTATTGCACCCCAGGCTATTCAGGGTTCCATTACCAAGGCCACCCCCCAACACATGGATTTTGTATCATCTTCGCCTTCCCAGGGTAATGGAGAACCCCGCACTGGGAACAGCCTAATGAAGTTTGTTTTTAGATTATTAAAGTTAGATTTTAATTCATACTGCCAGACAAAGGCTGTATACAGACTATTTATGGTCATTACAATGTGAACGCACATGTGAGATTATCGTAAAATCGTGGTAAACACGGCAAGCACTCATACGATACCTACTATTTTAATAAGGGTATTGTTTTCTCGCAGAGCAGCCAAGGCACCAAAGCCAGACAGAAAGAATATAGTGAGCCCCACGATGGTAAAAACCATGGGAACCCCCGAGGAAGTTTCAGCAAGGACCACCGAGACATCAGACAGTCTGAGCTGCACCAACGCCCCGATACAGATAAACAACACACCTGTAATCTGTACAGGGAAAAAGAACGCACACGTAAAGAGACACCATGACCTGCAACACACACTGCGCTCTGTGATAGCCAGGATGGGGGGGGGGACACACACTGCGCTCTGTGATAGCCAGGCTGGGGGACACACACTGCGCTCTGTGATACAAGCCAGGATGGGGGGACACACTGCGCCCAGATAGCCAGGCTGGGGACACACACTGCGGCTCTGTGATAGCAGGATGTCGGGGGACACACGCGCCTGTGATAGCCAGGATGGGGGGACACACTGGGCTGTTCCAGGATAGCCGGCGGCGCTCTGTGATACAGGATGGGGGACACTGCGCCTGTGATAGCCAGGATCGGGGAGGGGGGGATACTTGGTGGATGGGGGACACACGCCTGTGATAGCCAGGATGGGGGGACACACACACACGCACACCGCGCCTGTGATAGCCAGGATGGGGACACACTGCCTGGGAGGGGGGGGACACCACGCCTGTGATAGCTTGTGGGATGTGGGGGGACACACACACTGCGCCTCCAGGATAGCAGATGGGGGGGGACACACTGGCGCCTGTGATAGCCAGTGTGGGGACACACTGGCGCCTGTGATAGCCAGGATGGGACACACTGCGGCCTGTGAAGCCAGGATGGGGGGGCCCTCTCCAGATAGCCAGGATGGGGGGACACAGATACTGGGGGGACACTGCCTGTGATAGCCAGGATAGCCAGGATAGCCAGGGGGACACACACACACACCCTCGCGCCTGTGATATAGCTGGGGGGAGACACACTGCGCTCTGTGATAGCCAGGATGGGGCTTGCATGGGGACACACACCGCGCCTGTGACAGCCACAGGATGGGGTGGACACACTGCTGCTTGATAGCCAGGATGGGGGGACACTTGCCTGTGACAGCTTGTGTATTGGGGGGGACACACACACCGCCTGTGATAGCCAGGATGGGGGGGACACACACACTGCGCCTGTGATAGCCAGGATGGGGGACACACACACACACACACACGCTGCCTGTGATAGCCAGGATGGGGACACACACACCGCGCTGTGATAGCCAGGATGGGGGACGGGACACACTGCGCCTGTGATAGCCAGGATGGGGACGGGACACTGGCGCCTGCGATGGGAAGCCACACGGGGGATCGGGACACACCCGCGCTCTGTGATAGCCAGGATGGGGGGACACACACTGGCGCCTCTGTGATAGCCAGGATGGGGGGACACTGCGGCACTGCTTGATAGCCAGGAAGGGGGAGACCTGCGCCTGTGATAGCCAGGATGGGGGGGATAGCCGACACTGCTTCCAGATAGCCAGGATGGGGGACACACTCATGCTTCCGTGATAGCTTGGTGGATGGGGGACACTGGGCGCCTGTGATAGCCAGGATGAGGGGGGAGACACCGCTACCTGTGATAGCCAGGTGAGGGGGGAGACACACCAGCCCAGATAGCCAGGATGGGGAGACACACCGCCTGTGATAGCCAGGATGGGGGTGGGGGACACACGCTCTGTGATAGCCAGGATGGGACACACACACTGCGCTCTGTGATTGCCAGGATGGGGGGGACACACTGCGCTCTGTGATAGCCAGGATGGGGGACACACACTGCGCTCTGTGATAGCCAGGATGGGGGACACACACTGCGCTCTGTGATAGCCAGGAAGGGAGGGACACACACTGCGCTCTGTGATAGCCAGGAAGGGAGGGACACACACACACTGCGCTCTGTGATAGCCAGGAAGGGACACACACACACACACACACACACACACTGCGCTCTGTGATAGCCAGGAAGAGGGACACACACACACACTGCGCTCTGTGATAGCCAGGAAGGGGGACACACACACTCTGTGATAGAATTCCCCAGAATTATAATGGCTGTAATATAACCACTAGTGACACCGCCAGGGAAAAGATACATTCACGTGAGAGCAAGCACAACGTTTATATACACAAACCAACAAACTGGTGTCTGAATTGGGAAGATTCCCCCAAGACCAGCATGTTATAAAATCAATTTACCAAGATTCACAGTTTAGTGAATGAATTCTCCTGGGGATAACACTGGCCCTGACCACCCAGGATGGGTGCTTGAGATTAATGAATATTTAGGGTCTCCTTACCCAGAATATCAGGATGACACAGAACAATATGGCTTTGATGCAGAGAAGCCTATCCTGATTATCACACTTCATGGTTCTGGTAGGAACTAGCCTCCAACACTGGCTTGGCTAATGAGCTTGCAATCTAAAAGCCTCATCTGTCCCAGTGGCTGCATGGCAGGTGCAATGGGGAAAGCATGGCTTATTAACGAGGATCTGCTTAATTAGAGTGTGATCTTAACCCTTTCTGGGCAGACTAGAGGGAGGTAAACTAGACTAGACTGCTGGCAATGTCAGAATTCAAAATCAACATTAAAACTATTCAACACGTGTTCTAATTCTCAGTTTCAGTCAATAAATCTGATATTAACTAGAGGGAGCGACGCTCCAGTCCAATCTTTCCATTAACGATGTGGCAGTGATAATGAATGGGTTAACCCAAATACTGGGGCTATTAACTAAACAGTGAGTGAGCTCTAACTCTGCACAACAATCCCCACCATGCTTTACTGAACACACAGCAATTCGTTAGGATGATCGACTGCGCATGAAAAGCTCTGCCCTGCAGTATGTAGTATTCAAGTTCTGCAGGGGAAATCCATTATCTAAATAAGGCAATTACTTTGGGATCCAGGCTTTACAGGGGTGTTCACTAAGCAACACATTTTAGGAAATTTCATTAAAATGACGAGATTTGGCAACAATATCAGATTTAGAAAAAATCTCCAACTCAGCTTTATGTTCAGTTTTTATACTTTAATCGCAAAGAAATGTGAATTTAATTGGCTAAACTCAGTCGTTTAGTCAATAACCTTCTAAATAATGAATTAATATCCTTACAACAGCATTTGAATCCCACATGCACAAGGGCAGAACCTCTGGTACTGCGAATCCCTGAAATACCTGCAGATGTTTATGAATTCTGCATTCTGCGTGGTGGGTTTGGCAGTAAAGCGATTTCTACTTAGACGCTCTACGTAGACGTGTCCAGAATAGGTAGTGGATCTGGAGTCCCTGCATGCAAATTCCACCAAAAAAAAGCATTTTCACGCATTACAGAAAAGATGGAAGGTCCCCATTGTATAAAGGAAGAATAACCATTTTATACATTAATGTATCCTATGGTTAGAAAAAGGGCCTTTGCCGTAGGGTGACACAAGTTATCAGTGACAGGATTATTTAAATGCATATTTCACATGATGCCATCATCCTCACACAACCAGTATGCCCAGGAACCTTGTGTCCGAGCAACCACTTGGCCCAAAAACCACCCGGCTAGCTCAATTTAGGTGGAAGTCAAATTTTCAGCGGGTCGCAAATAGCCTCGATCTGGCGCAGAGTTCCACGACACTGGCTAGAGTTTTCCGGTCACCTTAAATGATGGCGCTTTCAGTCGGTACATGGAGCTTCCTCAGGTTCTTGGTATCGTTGGATGCCTCGTCACCTCCTCTGTCACCTCTCCAAAAAGTGCCCGGATTGGTAGTTCTGGGATCGAGAAAGCCCATATCAAATTTTACCAAACTGCATCAACTCCGCGATCTGATCAGCAGTTCCAGATGATTTGGGGGTGGCTCCGTGCATCAGCGGCTCCCTGGCCGGTTTCTGTATGTTCCCATGTCGGGGAAAGAGAGCACTGAGCTGGGAGGCACAGGCTGGAGGTGTATATGATAGTAATATAGTTCTTTAAGGAGAAGGTGGCGGCTGGGAGACGTGTACCAGTTCTAGGTGACCAGGTGATCTGTCACCATCCCATACTGACTACGTCATGTTACAAGTGGCCATTTATCTCCTACAAACACAAAGCTTCACGTCTATAATCCATGCCATCTCATGGCGCCTCACAAATATTTCAAAATATAAATTGGGTTATTCATGGAAGTGGGGATTGCTGGGAGTTTCCAAATTTAAGTCACTCTGGTTTTCATTTTGGCTGTTTTGATTTTTACATTTAAAGATCACTTTGACTCCTCAGGCATGGTCAACGTAACAAAAGAAATGGGAGACCTAGAAATACCATACAGACCTCAGACTATTAAGCCTTGTAACAGAACTATGATTGTACCTATGCTTTTGCCTGGACTTAAATAACAACGCTGCTGGATGTGTCAAACAAAAACCGAATGGCTAGTCTTTGTGGAAATATTCCTACTATAACACACAGCCCAAAATACCGAACATCAGATATTTTACCTCCCAGTGCTTGTGGAGCCCGCATGGGAATTCCTTTGTGCTCAGGTTAGATGGCCGCCATTTCGGGACTTTACACGTGTTCGCGGCCATCTTACGCACGAACGGCGGTGTTTGCCTGTGAACACATGGAACTAAAAATGTATACGCAAACAGGCGAACACCGGTGAGACCTCCAGGAGCTCGTAAGTTCGTGCTGGAACTACCGAACGACCGGCCGTTCGGTAGGTTTGTTTAAGCCTGCATAGGGATTCCAGCGAACACCAGGATGACTGTGGATGGCAAGGGGTTCGTGGGGTTTAAATGCACGAACGGAGACCGACCGCAAGGCCAAAACTTATGGAACTCTTTTCGGCTAGAAAACCTGTGCGGTCGGTCAAAACTTCAAAGATCCATAACTCCCGAACCCCTCAACCGAATGGGCTGAAATTTGGATATATTGTTCCCCTGAGTGAGAGCTATTAAGCGGTGTGGGACTTAAAGGTGTACCCCCTGTTTTTGGGGTACATCCAGAATGTGGTTAAAATTGTGTCTGTTTTAATTATGTTATATGTTATCTGAGGGGAGGAGACGTGGGGGTTGAACCATGTAGCTAATTGGCTGTTGTGATAATTATGTGGGTGTAGCCTTTCAGAGGGCACTATTGCATAAAAGGAGACCCCTGTCAATAAACATCAGTTCTACTTGACCCTTCAAAACGTAGCCTCGTCTCGTTCTTGGAGGGTATTTATGGTACCGTTACTCTGCCTCATTTTACAGCACTGCCAGATTATACACTTGGATATCGTGGATGGGAATAAGAACTCCATTACTTCACAGCAGCTTGCCTAGAAAAGGACGTCTCCAACGGCAGGTACCCCCCTACAGCAGGGTAGCCGTTACAGACTATAATTATATCTAATGACCTGAAAATATCAAACTTTCGATCGGATACTGACATTACAGATATTCAAACACGTCACAAGACTCACATGACATCTGAAACATGTTATACGGCTCATCGCTAGGCCAAAGTTTGCCTCTGCGTCAGTGACACTTCCTATGCACACCTAAGTATCCCGGTCAAACCAATATAATGTACTGAGGAATTACATTATGCATATTAAATCCTCCATGGAGGGCAAGCCCTCATGGTTCCGCTAAACATGGACACATACTGTAATGATTGAACTGCATGTAATTGTTAAGAAATTACCCATAATTTGGCTTCTGCGTAAGCCCAACCGTTGATGCTTGCTTGCTATGTATGTTGAGCAAAAAAAAAAAGAATAAAAAAAAAAAAAAAGATCACTTTGAATTCCTTTCAATTCTCACATTGGTGAATAATCCTGATAGGACCAGGATCTCCTGTTTAATAGCCAATAGATGGCTCTAACTGGCCGACTATCCTGTGTCTGCTTTCCCCTCTCTTTGTGACCCGGATTTATTCAGATTTCTTATCACTGTACAATGATACCAGGACAGTAAAGCGGCAATCAATAAAAATATAAAACGTACCTTTGGTGTCAACTTTCTAAATCGAATACCATAGTACCGGTAGCATCACCGTATGAAATCCAATCCTTCTTCAATGGTAAAAGGTTTTAACAGCTTAATAATACATTGACATGACACAATACAACCCATAGCCCCCAATCTAAGTAAACAATGCACAGTGTGTTACTAGCCCAGCCGGCTCCTGCACAGTGTGTTACTAGCCCAGCCGGCCCCTGCATAGTGTGTTACTAGCCCAGCCGGCCTTTGCACAGCTTGTATTACTAGCCTAGCCAGCCCCTGTACAGTGTGTTACTAGCCCAGCCTGCCCCTGCACAGTGTGTTACTAGTCCAGCTGGCCCTGGCACAGTGTGTTACTAGCCCAGCAGCCCCAACACAGTGTGTTACTAGCCCTAGAACTGCAAAGTTTATTACTAGCTCAACTAGCCCTTGAACAGTGTGCATTGTACATTACTAGCCCAGGTGGCCCCCGCACAGTGTGTTAGTAGCCCAGCCGGCCACTGCACAGTGTGTTACTAGCCCAGCCAGGATTCTGCACAGTGTGTTACTAGCCCAGCCGGCACCTTGCACAGCTTGTATTACTAGCCTAGCCAGCCCGTGTACAGTGTGTTACTAGCCCAGCCGGCCCCTGCACAGTGTGTTACTAGTCCAGCTGGCCCTGGCACAGTGTGTTACTAGCCCAGCTGGACCCAACTCAGTGTGTTACTAGCCCAGCCGGCACCTTGCACAGCTTGTATTACTAGCCTAGCCAGCCCCTGTACAGTGTGTTACTAGCCCAGCCGGCGCCTGCACAGTGTGTTACTAGTCCAGCTGGCCCTGGCACAGTGTGTTACTAGCCCAGCCGGCCCCAACACAGTGTGTTACTAGCCCTTGAACTGCAAAGTATATTACTAGCTCAACTAGCCCTTGAACAGTGTGTATTGTACATTACTAGCCCAGCTGCCCCTTACATGGTGATGCTAGCCCAGTAGGCCCCTACGTGGTATTATTAGTCCAGGTGGCACCCATTAAACAAACAGGCCTAATTGCTTTGTGTTTTGACTGGGATTGAGCAATAGCCCCCATGTTTATAAATAATAACCCCAAACACATTCCTCTGTGAAACGTCATATATCCCACATTTAGCCAAATATGGGCTGCACTCCCTCTGTGACTTGGCTGCACACAGCATCATATCAGCGTCTGCTCTGTGTTAACCCTTTCATAACCAGACTAGACACCGACGCACATCAGTTAACCATTCACCTGCCAGGATTTAATGTAAATGAGACATTTATAAATGAACGTCTGAGGAATTTCAATGAAAGTAAAAAAAATCTGCAACATATTGCGTGGGTCTGTTCAAACCACAAACTGCAGACTGGAATTAATCATGGCTTTCTTGAAAATGACAGTAAAAAAGAGACGAATATTTAGTTTTCTTATAATTCTGTTTATTAATG